ACCCGGTGCTGGACTTCTTCATCGATGGCAGCCTCTTGAGAGAGGTGGCTGCCGAGATATGGAAAGTGTTCCACGTACTCCAGAGCCTCCCCGTCTAGGTAGATAGTGCAAGGGATGTTCAGCTGGCCTGGGGGGATGGGGGGAGTTGGTGGAGAACCTTGATCTTGACAGTGCTCAAGGACAGGCCAAGTCTCTTATATGAAGCATTGAAGAGATCTAGGGTTGCTTGCATATCCTGTGCAGAGTGAGCCATCATGCAGCAATCATCTGCAAACTAAAGTTCATGGATGTGTCCTTGGTGGTGAGTTTTGTTTTTGCCTGGAAGCGCCCAAGATTGAAAATCTTCCCGTCCAGTTGATACTGGATAATGACACCAGATGGTACATCATCTCGGATAAGGTGGAAGATGACGGTCAGGTAGATGGTGAACAGGGTGGGGGCAATCACACAACCTTGTTTGGCCCCAGTCCAGATGCGGAAGGCTTTGGTTGCAGATCTTCCACTCAGGACAGTGGCAGTCATATTGTTATGCAGGAGTCTCAGCATGGTGAGAAACTTCAGCGGGCATCCAAGGCCCTATAGTTCCCACAGTAAGATTTGTAGATGGTTATGATGGTCACATTCTTGAGATCCCTGGGGATGTCTTCTTTGTCCCAAAGGCAGATGATAAGCTGGTGGAGTCATGATGTGAGCTGGAAGCCACCAGCATGGTAGACCTCTGTGGGTATACCATCTGGCCTGCAGGCTTTGTTGGTTTTCATCTGTTCGATGTCCTGCTTTTGCTCTCAGATGGTTGGTGGATCACCAAGGGAATCCACCACAGGACATTGTGGGATGGCTTGGAGGGTCTCCTCTGATATGGTGGACTCCCATTTATGGAGGGGTTCAAAATGCTTCTTCCAATGCAGACGTCCTTGAGGAGCCGGGAGCCATCCTGTGATCAGAGGGGGATTGTCTTGGTAGCCTGGAAAAAGTTACACATGTCATGCTTGTCAGCCCTGGATCATGTGCGCCTTCACCCACCAGTTGTTCTTCATGTCACAGATGCGTTGCTGGACCTCAGCCTTCAGCTGGTGGTACACTGCCATCTTTCACTGAGTTTGTGGATGGCTTTGCCAGGCGATGGAGGCTGCACACTTCCACTCAAGGAAATCATGAATCTGAGTGTCACTGGTGTCAAACAAGTCCTGGTTCCTTCACAATGCGAACCCAATAATGTGGGCGCAGGCATCTTGGGCAGTGGACTTGAGTTGCTCCCAGTGTGCCTGGATGGAGATGTCATCAGCAGTAGGGACTTGCTCCAGTGCACTGTACAACTGGGCCTGAAACTCCTCCCACTGTCCAGGGTCCTTCCAGCAAGGGAAGTTTAGATTAGGTATTAGCAAGTACTTTCTCACTAGGAGGGTAGTAAAACACTGGAACAGGTTACCCAGAGAGTTGTGGATTCTCCATCCTTGGAGGTTTTTAAGACCTGGCTAGACGAAGCTTTGGCTGGGGTGATCTAGTTAGCGATGGTCCTGCTTTGAGCAAGGGGTTGAACTAGATGACCTCCTGAGGTCTCTTCCAATCCTAATTTTCTATGATTCTGTGATGGTGGAGCTTCTTCTTGTATGATGGGGCCTGGCAAGAAGGGATGCTATAGGGTTCCCACCACTGTTCTGTAGATTCCGTAAATACCAACACAACCAAAAACTTAACCTAAATAGCTCAGACTGGGTGGTGGGCAAGACAACATTGCTCCCACGCTGAGCAGTTCACCTCTGAACATGGGTTGATTGGGTGCCTGGTGCACCCTTTGCTCACCTGCCTTCAGGCTCAATTCTCTTCCTGTGAGCCAGCTTTCTGTTCTGTTTCTCTCATCCAGGCACTGGGCCAAATATGCCACTGCCTCGTGGTGCTCCCCGCCGCGCTTGTATGGGGCCTGCAGCTCCATCAGTCCACCATCAGCGTGCTCTGAGTTTGCAGATGCTCCAAGTGGGGCATGTGAGGTCACTGGGGGGAGGCATGGGGGGAGTCGCATGCACCCTCATCTAGTGCCCACAGTGCCCCCTAGGCTGCCCTCTGCCAGCCCCACCTGACCTGCAGGTTTCCATGCGGTCCTTGGTCTGAGGTGTCGAGAGGGCTTGTGTCTGTGCTGAACTGCTTATTGATGGTGTTGGGTGGGCTGACATTTGATCTGGCCCTCTGGGCTTCATGGATAAAGGAGCCCTTCTGTGTTCACCCAGTATTTTGGTCCCATGGAGCGCAGCTGGCCTCTGGCCAATTGCCAGGAGTGTGTCCAGGCTTTTCCCAGCCGCCTCCACTGCAGAACACACACTGCTTCCCCGGGCATGCCAGCCCTCAGAGGAACCACCAGAGGAAACTTCCGGCAATGGAAAGAGCATCCAGCTCCATTTTCTGTGCCTGGATGCATCTTCTGCTTGCCTTGGCCTCAGGACCTATTTTAGGCATGTGGTCTCTGAGCCCCAGACCAACCGGTGGTGCTCTCTCCTGCTGCCTGGTGCTGGCCACCTGGATTGCGATGCTAAACTAAGTTGGGTGGGGGCCTGTCACATCCAGGCACCCCGGTCCCACCTCCCTCGCCCACCACAGTGGGTCCTGCTTGGGCCCTTTCTGCTTCCCCAAACTATGGGTCACCAGCTCCCTTGCACCACTCCTCCTGTCCCGAGTCCCCCACCCACTCCGGTAGCTCCCAGGGAGTGCACAGTGGAGAGCATTCTCCTGCTGCTGTTATCCAGGCATCCCTCCTGTAGGACCCCTATTCCTGTCACTCCAGAGAAGAGTCCCTGCAGTGGGGCACGGCATGCCATGGGGGCTGGGTTGCAGCCTCTCGCCACTTCTGGCCAGGAGGGCTACAGGCTCTGTAGGAGGGAGCGCTTGTGGTGCTCAGGGCTGTCATAAGTAGATGCAAAGTGGTCCAGGACCCTGACCATAAATTCCATCTCTGCTGTATCTCTACCAGCTCTGCAGAGGCATGGGTGGCTATCATGACCCCCTGTCCCTGCACCTCAGCAGCCCGGGTGTAGGCATCCCCCAGCCTGACCATGTTCCCCCCATCCACATCTCAGATATCTCCTTGTGCCAGTCCTGCAGCTCCAGGAGTCAGCTGTGCCCAGAGCTCAGAGGCAGTGACTAAGGGCTGCAGCATTTCCTCTTTCCTTTATCAGTGCCTTCTACAGACATCCCTTGTGCCCCCTGGCCTTGAGCTGGCATCACATCCTCCCCACTCCATCCTCCCTCACACAGGTGGTGTCCCTGCAATTAAACAGGGAAGACACAGAGCTTTTGTGCAAAGTTACAACTTTTGCTGAAAAAATGAAGTATAAGGGAAGGTGTCTTGGACATGGAGCAGGTAGGAACTGGCCACTCCAGGGAATGCTGGCAGAAGTCTTAAAGCACCTCCTTCCCCCATCCTTCAGGAGAGGTATTTCAGTGCTGTGTCCCTACAGAAGCATCACTTAGTTCCTGTCATTGCCCTGGTGGGACTCAGCCAGGATGGTGAAGCTTTTACGCTGCCCCCCATTTCTGTCCTTCACTTACAGGAGAGGTATTTCAGCACTGTTCCCCATCAGGAGTACTTCACTCCCAACATTTCCCTGGAGAGAGTTGGCTGGGCCTGGAGGGATGAGCTTTATCACTACTCCCAGGAGAATGCCAGCCAAGATAGTGTGCTCCTGCTGCTGAACATGGTCCCCCAGGGGGTGCTCAAGAGCTGGAGAGGGGCTCTCTGCTTTGATGATGCGCCGTGCTCTGGGGAAGCCTGGTTTGCCATTCAACATGAGAATCCGACTTGAGTGCTACCTGTGGCTCCACTATGATGATCTGACACCCCCAGATGAGTTCACAATTGGCACTACTATTGACGTGCTGCTGAGCCCATGACCTGACCTCAGGAGAGGTTCACCAGATCCTGGCTGCTTAAAAGGGGTCCTGCTGTGCGCCACCCTGAGCTTTCCAGCGCCGTTCTACTTTGAGTACTCCGAGAAGCGCTGGGGGTGGGGGTTGCTTTGCTTTCAGGAGTCAGGGTTGAGGAGTGGTCTGGGCCCAGGGTGGGGTTCTGATGACAGGAGTGGGGGTTACTTTGAGGGGTCAGTACAGTGGCTGCCTGCACCATGCAACTCAGTTACCTGGCACCCATGGACTTTGCCCAGGGATCAGATCAGAGGGGAGTGGGGAAAGTATTGGAGTGCCACTGGCCAGCCTCTCTAGGTGCACAACTCCGGAGTCACCCTGGCAGCAGGACTAGAGCAGCTAAGATAGCAAGTCCCATGCAGGACTCCTGTCATCACAACATTGCCTTCCTTGGACTGGGAGGGAGGAAGGAAAGAAGGGAGGGAAGAAGTGGGAAACTGAACAAGGATGGTAAGAATAATACTTAAAAGTGAACTTTTATTTGAACTGCAAAGCTGATTTTAGATAAAATCTGCTAATGGTAGCTTTTGTGCTTCAAAAGGGCATCCTCTGTCAGGTGGGCATTTTACTTCATGCATAATTTTATGAGAATTTCTGATGGAGCATTTCAGAAAATAAAAAATGTTAGAGGAGGGGAAAAATCAAAATGGGTATGCAGAAAAAATAGGTGGTGAACCTCAACAGGTGAGATGAGTAATAGCAATCTTGAAAACTGATCTTTTCTAAATGCCTTTTTTGTTGACCAAATTTAGAAATAGCTATACTTTTTTAATATCTTTGACTTGATTTCATTTTTACAGTGTAAACCACGGAAATGATCCCAACATGTAACATAAAGCAGTGAAAACCGGTACTTTTGAAGGGAATTGTTAGAGTTCATGTTACAACTGGAAATTATGTTGATGCAAAAAAAGTGAAAAAGTTAAAAAAACTTTTTTTTTAATCATATTTATTTATTGTGCTGCACTGAATTAATTCTGAAAAGTTTATTTTACTTTTTCTCTTCTTCAGACATGTTATTTTGCAGTATATCATTCATATATTTCAGGGTATGTAGCAAACTACTAATTACATTTTTTTTTAAACAGATACAGACCCACGCGTTTTAGAGAAACAAGAACTACAGCAACCAACTTACGTTGCCCTAAGCTATATTAACAGGTAAGCATTTTTCCAGATGGAAATATGACTGGCCATGTTTTGTAGTTTATATATGTGTCATCAGCATAAATGCATCTTATCTAATGCTAGAATAAGGTACCTACATACGATTCTATATTTAAAATCGATAGATTTTGCACAATAGATGCTACTTTGTGCAAATATTTTGTGACTTGTGACTATAATAGCTTTACTGGATGTCTAATCATTATCAATGCGTATCTGGGCACTGGCCATATGAATATGACTTTTTTTTGTTTTGTTTAAGATTTAGTCTTAACATAATATTTTTTTCCACTCATTTTTACCTTCTGGCTTTGCCGCCTGAATGAGGGGTGCATTTACTTATGTAATCTTTTTCCATTCTTGGCATTTAAACAGTGAAGTTTTAAGGTGGTACTTCATTGGCTGGAGGCTAAAATACTGTGCCAGAGGGTTTGAAAATTTACAGTAATCATTTGTTTTGGGTTTTTTTTAAGCTTTGCCCAAATGAAACCAACGCACGCACACACGCACGCGCACACACACAGGTTTCACTTGGGCAAAGCTTTTTTAAATAAAAAAATATATAATTTTATACATAGTATATGTAAAATTTATCTAAAAAGTTATGTGCCAGCGCAGAGGAGTTGAAGTGCTGTTTAAATCTTGGATTGCTGTACTGTATAGTGAAAAGCACCCTCTGTGAGGTTGCTATCTCTTTTTAGCCCATTCAGGTAGGCAGAGCATAAGTGGGGAGCAGATGAAGCCAATTTCTCCTCCTTGGTCAGTGCCAGACAACTCATCTGAGCAATTGCAAAAAGTTAGGACAGAAAATTATTTCTGCCCTGGGAATAGGGAAGAATCATGGACCATATTGGGAGTGAGGAACAGACGTGATGATACACAAGCAAGCTGCTTTCTTAGGGCTTTTGGCAAAACCATCTTTTAGCCTTGATAAACATTATGCATGAAGCATACCTCTCCCTAAAAAAAAAAACTTTTTCAGGGAAATCAGCATACTCCGTATATATGTGCCCCATGTGCTCAATAACTGCTGGCACTCGTGTGATTTCCCATGTGACAAGTACATCCTGGAGAAAGTACCACTCCTTTTTTTTTTTAAAGCATGATGTGAAATTTGTTGTGTCCCTTTAATACTAATTTCTGTTTGTTTGTTTGTTTTTAACCTTTTGTTGAAAAAATGAATTCTTGGATTGTAGTCAGTTTCCTTGTTTTCTTGATATGCTTCATCAGTTTCCTTCTGTTGGTAGTTTACCTAGCAAATAAAAATACAGATTCCTGTGAAAACACAGAAAATACTGTGGGTTTTCAGGATCAAATGAAATATTGAAAACGACTTTAATTTCTTTTAAAATTTTAAAGATGGCTAGATTTAAAGATGTCAGTGCCCTTTTCAGTTTGGTTTTGTATGCCTAGTAAGCATGTTATATACTGTTAAATATCAAACAACAGATACTAATGTGTTTTTTAAAACCCATGCTTTTTATGGTTGCCAAGTGGAACAGAACTTAGACTGGTGGTTCTTGCTGTGAGCTCCAGACTTTAAATCAATCTTCCTCTGCAGATTTGTATATTCAATACATTCTGTGTGGGCCATACATTCTTATGGAAATAAGAACTCTTAATGCTATGGGATTGTCAAAACTGTATTGTAAAATGAGTATGTCTGAATCTGTGCTGGCAAGCAAAAATAAGGGCAAAGTAATTGGTATGTGGGTTATTTTCTGTACTGGTTGTCCAGTTATATAGTGACTAGGGCATGTGTGCTGTGGCCAAAATTTGGGTTGTCTTGTTTGGTGTTTTCCTTCATTGCTGAAACGCTGAAGTGGCAGCAAAGGTGAAGACTGGAAGGGAGAGATACCACAAGTTTCAATATATTTCACCTTGAAACAGATTCTCACCATCTTGATCCCTCATCCCTGAGAATATCTTCTTAAGAATATTGATGATATGTTATTTTATGCTCCCTTAAATTCTAAAACGGCCTCCAAATTATAATCATATGAAGATCTGGCCTTGATCTTTGCTAGAGATATAATACTGTTTCAGCTACCAGTAAGCGTATACAGATGCAGCTTCCTGGGTAAATAACCCTAATGTAGACAGGCAAAGCTACAGTCAGGACTGGTAGAGCTTTTCATTTCTTGAAACTAGAATAAGCTTTTCCGCTATAAATTGCATTTGATACTGACTTATGCTGTCCACATTAAGCGTTTGCATAAGTGGCTGACTGAATTGCAGCACATCCCAACACAGACAAGACTTAAATAAATGTTGTTCTTAATGTAATTTAACAGGATTGGTGGTTGTTTCCTGTTTGCATTGTCCTTTCCTCTTACAATCCAAAATTCAGTACTGCTGAAGCATGCACACTAAATCTTCACCCATGTTCTAAGTATAGAAGTAGTAGACTGCAAGCTCCTCAGAAATGTACACCAGCAGCCCTCATACCATTCAAATAATACTTCAAGGATATTTGGTTATGGTGCTGAGCTACAACATCTGGTACTCCTTAGAGAACTTTCTTTGTGCCCATTAATAAGAGAAGCTTAAGACATCTCTGTATCTTATTTCATTTGGATGTGAAGATTAGTAGCAGTAATCTACATGATATGACACTCATTTATGTCCCTGAGACTGTTGGTCTGGGACTTGAATAAAGATGGTTCTTAACCCCGCTATATTTATAGTACAGTTTGATGTACTGGGCTTGAAAAACATTGTGAAGGTTTCTGGACCTAAATTATTGTCTATTTAACAATTCCTTTCAATGGGAAAAACCCTGAGATGTCTATTCATGAAGAAATATATTTGATAGTAAGCATTACTTGGGATAAGTTCATGTCTTTTTCTCTAGTCCACAGATTTTGGTTCCAGTACTATTAATAGCTTGTTTAAAAAATAATGACCAACACCACAGGATTTTGTGCTGTTTTGAAACTTTTTTTAAAGAATAGTAAGTCAGTGTTATATGATCCATATTTATATGATACTTGCATGCTATAACTGCTTTGTATTTAGAGACAACACTATTTGTGATTGTTTTATGTGTTTTCATAGCAAAATATTAAACCCACACAATGTTACTGACATTGTCATTCTAGGCAATTGACCTTTACCTTTCTTGTAAAATTACTATGTTCCATTCCTGATGAAACTTGAAAAAATTATTTGTTTTAGTCTAAACAGGCCATGCATTTATATTTGATTGCCTGCGCTCATGACTGTTCTTCATCACTGGGGATTTTTTCTCCATGATACAAGTTAAGACATTTTCTCTGGCAATCAATTCTCAGTGTAGAATGGTTAAACAGTAAACAAGTAGCTCAGTAAGCATAGGTATTTACACTAGAGCTTCCAAACTGTGACTTCAACACTTCAAACACACTGAATCTTCCTTCAAAATTATTGTAACAATTTTTGTATGTGTAATTTACTGTGGCAGTTTAGCAAAGATTATACCTCATACTCTGTCCTAATGATGATGCATGATAGTGTACGCCAGTTCCAAAGAAACTGTAAATTCTGTTTTCTCAGCAGTAGGCTATATCTTTTGACCATACTAAGCCCAGGAGTTAAAACAGGAGGCTTCACTTGAAGATATATTTGCAGCTACTGTACAGTGTGTTTTTTCCTCTGTCCCTTATCCAAGCTATGTCACTTTAATACCTTTCAGATGTGTTTGCTAGTTTTGCCTCTAAATCAGATTTGCCACAGTTCAAGCAGGTAAGTGCCATAATAAATAGGTTGTTTTTTTAAATGGAGTGTTGCTTAATTCACCAAAGTTATGGAGGAGAGATTCAAGCATGAAAAGTTTAAGAACCACTGCAGTAACTGTTCTATGGGCAGAAAAGATGATTTCAGTGGCCTAATTTGTGGCTACCATACTTTTCACGTGCTGAATGTACTGAACGCTCTTTTTTTTTATATAACATTTTTTTATTAAAGGCCTTATGAGGAGAGGCTGAGAGCCATGGGACTCTTTAGCGTGGAGAAGCATAGGCTCAGAGGTGACTTGATGGCAGCCTCTAAGTACATAAGAGGTGAGCATCAGGATCTGGGGGAACGCTTGTTCACCAGAGCACCCCAAGGAAAGACAAAAACCAATGGTCACAAACTCCTGCAAGACCGTTTTAGACTGGACATAAGGAAAAACTTCTTCACTGTCCAAGCCACCAAGGCCTGGAATAGACTGCCCACAGAGGTGGTGCAAGCACCTACTCTGGACACTTTCAAGAAACATTTGGATGCCTATCTTGCTGGGATCCTTTGATCCCAGCTGACTTCCTGCCCCTTGGGCAGGTGGCTGGACCCTGTGATCTTACGAGGTCCCTTCTAGCCCTAATGTCTATGAAATCTATGAAAGGATGTTTTTGTGAAGAGTAAGTTAATGCTGAAATGAGAGGGAAGTGTTTTAGTACTGGTGTAATAGTTTCGGTACTGGAGCGAGAGGGGCATCCATCCTGGGCACCAAATACCGCTGCAGAGTCTGTACCCTGGCCGTATAGCCACACCAGGAACTCCAGAACAGCCCCCAGTTGCTGCTGCCGCTGCTTTAGAACAACAGCTGAAGCAGGCAGAGTGTGTAGTAGTAGCAGCAGCTCATTTGGGGCTGTTTTGGAGTTTTCAGCATGGCTAAGACTGCTGTTCCCCTCTACCTCCACTCTCAGATCCTACATGTCCCCTTCCCCACCTGCTCTCTGAACCAAGGCCCCCTCCCCACCACTCTTGGAACTGTGCGCCTGCCCCCCTTCTACAGGGTTTCACTTGGGCACCAATTTTGCTTGTTAGGCCACTGCTGGACTTATAAAGAATATGAGTTCAATTCTTGAGTCTACCCAAGATTGTGTATGGCGTTTGACAATGCACTTGTTGAAAAACAATATCATGACTTCTGCTGTCTTCATGGAAGCTGAATCTAGGCCACATGTCTGCCCATTTACAAAGCGGACAATAGTTCATCTCGTCACAGAGTGCGGTAGTAAGGCAGAAGGCAG